GACAGTAGAGAAATACACACACGCGCATGCCAGTGCCACACGCGCGTCGAAGACGAAGAAGGCTTTTTGAGGTGACCCCTTCGACCAATGATAACGGAGGCACACATGACAGACAGACAACTCACTTTTATTAAGTATACAGATCAACCGTGTTTCGCTACACTTCGGCTCCCTCCAATACCCATTTCAGCATTGTACCCACCAACACGTCAATATTTGGTGCCATACGGTTAATTTTGATTTGATTCGATTAGTTTTAGCTCAGATGAGTTTTGTTTAGTCTAATATAGTTTAAGTAGTTTAGTTTCCTTTTAGGTTAGCTTACTTACCCGTTTATTTGTTAGTTTAGTTTACATTAGTTTACTTAACTTAATCTCATAGAACTACAATCTTTGTCCACAGGGAATAGAAACTCACTTGGTTTAAACATTGGAAAAGGCCTATCTCTCATGGTTTCACGGTTCTTTAAACTTAGATATAGAGTCGATACACAACTGTGTCCAATTGGCGCGCACTATTCACGCAGTTCTTAATTCTACTGGTTTTATACCCCATTTTAAGAATGGCGTGCAAATTTGAAGAATTATATCCTTTATTTTCTACTTTTCTAAACTCTATTTTATTTTACTGATTTTTTCCTACCTCTGCTATGACCCACCCATATAACCCATACAGCCACTGCTCCCGTAAGATATAATTCTGGTACTGTGGATATATAACTTGGGAGAACAACTCTGTTTTTGTCTTTGCTTGAACAACTAAACGAAATCAGCTCAAAGCTGCTACTATAGAGAATACGCATGGAACGCATATACCTACCTTGCCTAGCAGAGTCAGTTCTTTTCAGTGCTTTCGGCCGTTGTGATATTACTGGTGTATATTACCATCTGAATAGCCAGAAGTTAAAAAGTGAACGGCTATTCTACTTCATCACTTCTGATTCTGCTTCCCCATCACTAGAAACAGCATTTCCGTAAGAAAAAATACGGGAGCTGGAGAAATATGAGGTACAATACTTAAACTACCTTTGCCCGTAATGCATCTCTCACAGTCTAGACCGACCGATAGAAAGCTATTTTAGCTGAATACTTTCTGATACCTAGAACATTATTTTGGGGGGCCTAAACTGTGCCTCATGTAACCAAAATGTCAATTAGGCTAAATCGCTGCTCTAAATACAGTCCAATTTGGCCTACGTTTGACGAAAATTCCAAGAAAATTTATCCATGCTCTCGAGAATTGCCCTCATTGGCGATTATGGATTTCTTTTGATTCCTGGTGTTGTGAGTTTGTGCACCTACTTTGACAAACAATTGAGGACGTTTTTGCTGAGGATTCCCACCAAGCAGAATGCTTTTCGTAGAGACATTCGTGCAGCTTAGTATTAAATTCAACAAAAACTGTTGAAGCTAGGTACCGATAAAGTAACATTTACCTTTTTTCACGGAAATGGTTGCGACAGCCGGAAATATTGTGCCATTTTTCCAAACATTTTGCACGGTGATCTTGTCAAGTTTAGACAAATCCAAGCCACCAGCGACCACCGAGGTATCCTTCGTGGTATAGGTCTTCTTAAAGCCTTGACCGTAGACGGTAACGTGGTACTCGTCTTTGAATTTATCGGCAGGAACTGGTTTGCTCCAGCTCACCTTGATGGCGTTGCCGCTCGCTTGCGAGGCCTTCAAATCTCTTACAGTTGTGTACTCTGTAGACAAAAGACTCTTTCGTTAAATGTAACTGGAGAGTGCAAAACGATTAACTATGCGGATCGCTAACTGCCATTTACTTGAGAGTAAAACCGCCTTAGGAAAGATGGAACAGAGTATGGATGATAACAGTCATTTACCGGTCTTTGACAGCTTTATTGTAAGTGATGATGAAGATTTGAACGGCTTGCCCTGCTTGTCAGTAGCGTGTATATTGAATGTGTAAGACGAAGATGGATTTATGTTGGATAGTCTGAACTCCGGCTTCGCCACCGTAAAGTCTTTCTTATACGTTGCATTTTGGACGATAACTAGATACTTGTCTCCGCATTCACTCGGATCTTTTGGAGGCTTCCAGGCCACACGAATGGTTGTGGGATTCAGCATCGAGGCAGTCCTGCCTGCTGGCACTGGCTCTTCTGCAGACAAAAGGTGAATAAATAATATGAATCCGATGAGATCTGAACAGGGATGGAACAGGGCCAAATCGAAGGATTCCTGAAATCCAAGACTTTTCTAATTGCGCCGCTATTATTTCCTGCCTCCATTCGCATATATCTTTGAAGTGAGTTGAACCCGCGAGGTTTAAATTTTCGAGCCACAAGGAAATATATTTCGATAGAGTTTTACATTGAAAAAATTGTCTTTAGACAATACTTGAATCAAAAACACATTCATGTCTACGATTCGACCAACTAACTGTTCATCAAGACATTTCTTCAAATCCAGAATCGTGCCAGTGATTTTAGTTTGACCTACGCGGTCTACCAACCCAACTCAGTCTCGTCAGGGTTTCTGAGGGGTGTCTGCAGAAAGGCAGAGTCGTTCAGTCACATACTGCTTGTGTATAATTACTACATAACCACAGATTAGACTAGCTTGGTTGTGGCTATCTGTTCTAATAAACCCCGAACTAATTTATACTAGCATAAACAATATGTACTTCGACACTATAACCAACAACTAGGATATTAGAATAGAAGACAAACACTATATAAGTGTATGCCATCCTATCCTTTGCTGTCTCTCCTGCTCCTTTGAAATAGAAATAGTTTCTACTAGTCTAGACAATATTGAATTCGACATTACAACCTATAGCTTGCATATTAGAATAGAAGAAACACACTTCATTATTATTATCCATCCCATTATTTTTTTGACATTTCTTCTCCTAACAACCAGAAATAGTTTGTAAAAAGGTCGTATTGGCAAATAATTGTTTTCGGTTTTATGAATAATAAGACTGCCTTTTATGGGAGACGTCGCAAGTGGACAGGTAAGACGACGCCTGAGGGCAGCAGCAAAGAGTGCCTTCCCGGCGGCAAACTTACGCGCACTCTTCATTACCCCTCCCCCCTTCTACGAAAGGGCGGTAAAGACAGACTACCATTTCAGGCCGCACCTATGTGCACCTATTCTTTCACCTGTTCCTGTGGAGCGGGATATGTTGGCCGAACAACGCAACTTCTTGAGAAGAGAATATGCAAGTATATACCAGCCTGACTCAGCAAAAGGGAGAATAAACTACTCTGAAGTTCAATATTCGCCCACATAATTGATAGGAACCACTAAGTGGATGCGAAATGAGCCTTTCTGGTCATTTCACCGCACGCCAACACTACTCCAAAGGCCTGCGCAAATAGGTGTTAGCCACAGCAGAGACAATGGCAATTGGGTTAGCAAAAGCCACTCTATGCTGTCAAAGGGCGCTAGTACAAGCAATCTGCCTCCATTGGCAGACTGTACGCAAAAATCTCACATATCTTGAAGCCACGTCATCCGTAAACGCACAAAATGAAGCCATAGAGAACAGTCAACCACAAGCTACGTGGCTGAAATACAGATCTCTACCCACTGACCATGAGAACACCCCCCGTCTTCTCTTCGCATGGCAACCAACGTCCTATCCGCACGGGCGCGCGCATTTAGGAAACGGGGGAAACCCAAGATGCTTACCTTATAATCCCCTTCGCCCCCCATCCTGATGATAATATAAACGCTGCAATTAACTGACCATTTTTATTTCCCATGTAATGTACCGGCCTGATGATGAATGATCGAAAACAATCGTTTGCCAATACGACTGTTCAAAATGGGAATTTTCGCAGAACTAGGAAACGTAGAACTTTACGACCCAACTATCCTGAGTGATGAAAAAAAGTCGTATCCGAAGCGAACGACCTGCGACGTAGGGGGCTAACGTCTATCCACTCGGCCACTACGACCGGTTTGCGTGAGTCACAGAAATTTAAGTGACACGATAAACTCCGTCCACGAAATCCTTGACCTAACTGCCCCGCGTGATAAACAGTCGTGCTCGTCGAACTGCGACATAAGAGGCGAGTGTCTCAACCCCATTGCCACCATGACCACCCGGCAGAAGTCACAGAAAGTTTAGAGCACTGACACTGATGACATGCATTGCCCGACCGCATGCAAACATTGCAAGGAGTCCCGCCCAAGAATATCGAAGTTGGAGTCACACATGCATCTAGTGACTGATATTATCACATATTTTCTCCAACATGACAAATGAAAGCCGCTGAATGAAACCAGTCGCAATCAGCAGCTAGAATCCACATTGACGGAGCTAGCTAGATACCAGGCACCAGCTAATCAGTCCAGGCTAGACTAAAACAAAGAAGAGGTATACACAAACGTGCCCAAACCTACTGTTCCAGAAAAGGTCACCTCCCAGAATCAGTAAAATGGCCAGGAGAAGAGGGAAGCGTCCACCTGCCCAACCAGCCTCACCGTCCTCACAAGCCAGAACTAGCAAAACCTGGCAAAAGGGGACTGGAGAAGAGCTGGAAGAGGTCGAAGATAGGGCATTAACACCGAGAGGGCTGCGATTCGGTGCAAAGAAGGCACTTACAGTTAAGGCTGCCGCAAAAAAGATACGAAGTTGAGGAGAAGAAGAAGAAGACTCGATCGCTGGGACAAGAGTCCAAGAGTCTTCTCAATAGCTTCCTGGGACACGCATGTTCGCTTGTATTGGCAAGATGCGAAGTTGCCCAAATTAAGGGTTAAAGCCCCCCCCCCATAACTGACCAATCCGTCGACAAGAACCAAATTACTGGTGAATTGACTGCGCGAGAGGCTTCGAAAGGACACAACCAATGGGCTTCGAATAGTGACTCGTCCATAATAGGTAATACTGTGAATAATTCACGAAGCTGCGTCAGCGGTATCCATTCCCTCACCGCAACTACCATCTAAAACGTGGACTTCGCCTAAGTCGAAAATAAATGGAGAAAAACCGAAAAGCCTTTGCTCCGCCATCACCAGTGTGCAACACGAGAGAGTTGCAACAAGAAGTGGCCGTCAGCGTTGGGGGAACGCAAAATGGCCCCGATAGGGGAACACATTTCATAATACAGGGTCTACCGTAATGGACTGCAACTGCTTCCATCGACCGTATTCCGCTGGCATGAAACTATTCCAAGAACATCTGAAAAAATTCTGGTGCCTAATACGTCAATCAAAATGCACAAATGTTTCCATCTGGAAAAACTTCCAGGGAAGCCATATGAACCAATGCGTCCTAGACTTTTAAAGACGTCATGACCTGCAGCCAGGACGAAAGACATTATCCAGGGTTTCCGAAATTGCAGTCATAAGCGATCATGGATTACTTTTGATTCCCGGTGTTGTGAGTTTGGGCACATAATCGACGACATTTTTGCTAAAGGTTTCGATTAGGCAGAACATTTTGGATAGAAACATTCGTGCAGCTTAATAATAAATTCAATGCAGACAGATGAAGATAGTTGCAAGTAAATAGGCATTTACCAATAGGCCTTTTCACGGAAATGGTTGCTACAGCGGGGAACATTTCGCCATTTTTCAAAACACTTTGCACGGTGACCTTGTCAAGTTTAGAGATATCCAAGCCACCAGCGACGAACGAGGTTTCCTGTGTGGTATAGGTCTTCTTGAAGCCTTGACCGAAGATGGTTATGTGGTATTCGTCTTTGAATTTATCGGCAGGAGTTCCCTTGGTCCAGGTCAACTTGATGGCGGTGCGGTTCACATTCGTGGCAGTCAAATCTTTTACTGTTGTGTACTCTGTAGACAAAATAGGAAAGATTAATTTGTAACATTTAAGTGGAGAAGGCAAAACGATTGTTCATGCGGATCGCTACCTGCCATTAGCTTGAGAGTGAAACCGCGTTAGTAAAGATGGAACAGGGTATGGATGATAACAGTCATTTACCGGTCTTTGACAGCTTTAGTGTAAGTGATGTTGAAGATTTGAACGGCTTGCCCTGCTTGTCAGTGGCGTGTATGGTGAATACGTAAGACGAAGATAGATTTATGTTGGATAAAATGTACTCCGGTTTCGCCACCGTAAAGTCCTTCTTATATGTTGCATTTTGGACGATAACTAGATACTTGTCTCCGCATTTACTTGTATCCTTTGGAGGCTTCCAGGCCACACGAATGGTCGTGGGATTCAGCATCGAGGCAGTCTTAGCTGATGGCACCGGATCGTCTGCAGACAAAAGGCAAATAAATCATCTGAGTCCGGTAACATAGCAGTAGGTGTGTAAACATAACTCCCTAATTATCGTATAAACTCAATGCCAACTCCTATGGACAATCTTAAAATGGGCACTTATTGCTTTCGTACACCCTTTATTAGCATTCTGCGAAATGTTGTCCATTTGTAGTTGAGATAAACGTATGTCTGCGCAAGTTGGCCACAACAGTTAAATAATATGTATGCGACCGTTTAAGAGACGCTTAATTGTTGATTTTTCTGTTATTAAAAGTAGAGAAAATTTAAAAGACATGCAACGGCCTATGAACCTAATAACCCGACTGCTAACGACCGTGGTGGGCGCGTTATCGGCAGATGAGGCAAAGAGCAAGAGCGTATGCTTGTCGCATCTCCGGTTCTTCGAAATGTTCTCGTAACGATGCGGTCCCCTCCTCGTGTGAGGCTAGTAAATGCTGCAGTAAAAAATCATTTTGTTTGCGCCTGTATTACTATAAAAGAGCATTCGTAAAGACCAGAAATTTTATTTTGCCTTGCTTAAATTGAGGTAAGTGTACTTACGAGATAAGGAATTGTTTGGGAATAAGACAGAAGCGTTATGCTGAAAATCCTAGTTTGATATAAACACAACCTACCAGTCCAAATCAGTCTCGTCAGGGTTTTTGAGGAGTGTCTGCTGATAGGCAGAACCGTTCAGTCATACACTGCTTGTGTATAATTACTACATAACCACAGATTAGACTACCTCGGTTGTTGCTACCTGTCCTAATTCAACCGTCATATTTTAAACTAATATAGAAAATATATAGTTTGACACTATAACCCACAATTTGGATAAAAGAATAGAAGATAAATACTACATAAGTATGGGTCACCCTATCTTTTGTTGTCTTTCCTGCTCTTTTCAACCTTAAATGGTTCCTACTATTAAAGATAATATTGAATTCGAAATTAAAACTTATAGTTTAAATATTAGGATAGAAGACTCATAAGACATCATCATAGGCCATACTATCTTTCTTGTTGATATTTCTTCTCCTACAACCTAAAATAGTTTAATATATTAAAACATAGAAAAGTTGCATTGGCAAGCGATGGGCGTGTCGAGCTTGACCGTAACCACTTCTCGTGTAAGCCTTAAACTAAAGTTGATATACACCAGTGCACGTAGCATGCTATCATAGCTTGACGACCTGAAGATTCGTGCCTGTGAACTATCCCCAGATATAATTCCCTTGACGGAAACCTGGGTGTCTGAACACGTGGACGAACGCGAGGTAACCATGCCTGATTACCAAATGTTCAGAAAGGAGAGGGGGGACGTCAAGGAGGTGGTGTACTGACATACGTGAAAGAGAGACTCACCGTTTTAGACAAAACAGATTAACTGGCGTGTACATTCGAGGCAGGCTGGCTGCCCATTAAAGTATCAGACACATCAAGCCTCGATGTCCTGACACTCTACTGGCCATTGAGGAGGAAGCTCGTAGCGGATGCCTCCTTGCTGGAGGAGCTCGAATGGGAGGGGATATCCTGATCATGGGTGTCTTTAATGCGACCGACATCCCTTGAAGCACGGCCGGCGCACACAGCTCTGATCTAGCCTTCGACAACTGTCTTCTGAGCATGACTCTAAAGTCATATTTCACACAGCACGTCACGTATTCAACAGGTCAATTGTCTGGACGTCGTTCTCACGTCGTTGTCGCAGGACAGCATCGACCAAGGGTCCTGTCTACCTCGGCTAGGTAAAAGTGACCACGTTGTACTGCTATGGGAGAACTGGTTATTTTCAATATCCGATAGACCCATAACAGTCAGAATAAAATATTTGGCGAGGCAATTTCGATCTAAATATGGCCGAACTCTCGCGCACTGAGTGAGAACATCTGTTGTCTGGCAGCATAACCGCGGACTGGGAAACGTTCCAGGACATACTGCGCAGGTTCATCAAAAACCACTTTCAAATTTCGCGAAGAAGTTTAACCAACAGACCGCGAAGGTTTGCGCACGCCTTAAGAGGAGAAGTTAACAAAAAGCGGAAGCTATGGAAAAAACGCTTAGAGACAAGGCTCCTGCATGTCTAAGTGCGTAAAAAATTCAGAGAAAACGGGTCAAGAGTATTATTCCTAGATAAATAGGGGACCTCGAAGCAGTTCTGATGAACCGTGCCACGGTGAAATCCAAACTGTGTTACAGTTACCCAAGACAGAGTACCAAAATCAAAGATCCAACACCTCTGCTAAGGACCGCGGAGGGAACAGACCTGACAGACGAAG